CAGCTATTATGGATCATAAGAGCAAAAATGAAATCCACTTCATCTGCCTCGCAGGAGAGCTCTAATGGTACCTAAAGTGTAAATAAACCACCAGGTTGAAAATGGAAACAGCTATTGTATTCTCAAGTATTAAAAATTGGTTTATTTTTCTTCCAACATTAAAGGCTTTATCTTTCTTGAAGTGCTACCTGGATACGAAAGGTCCTTCCTTCTGTTCTGTGGAAGGAGACATGAATGTTCCAAAATTATTATTTTCCTTACTTTCCCCTACCCAAAAATGCTACCAATACTTTGCCTTGTAATGGGAAATTGGATGTGTTTAGAAAACAGTTGAACTTGAGAGCCGACAGCTGTGAGCATGAGTGAGATCTGTTTAGATAATATCTAACCCTGTGTTGGAGGCTGACGGGGCTAGATGCACCCCCCCCCCCCCCCCGTGCTTTTACAAAGAAGCCTGTCACGGGTGTGCAGTAATGTGTTTCTTTTTCCAATCTACATGGTTCCTTGTGACTGAACTTGTTGTAAGAAGGGTTATGCAGTCTGAGCGTTCCACTAATGATACCGCCTTTTATTTTTTAAAAAAAATGAAACACAAACTCCACTAAAATGATTTCCTTATTGGAAAAAAAATGCATAACTGAAATCCAGTCAATAGCGTTATCATAACCGTACACACCGTTTCCATGTATACACTATTTTCATAGGCAAGGGGGATTTTTTTGGTTGACATTTCAGAATTTATAGTAAAGGGTAAAGCAAATGTAAAATCATCAGATCTCTTTGACAAGCATAGGTGCTTTGATAGCATTTAGTATGCTACTTCCATCCTCAAAGAATTTTTCAATGAGGGCAATTTGTGTTTGTATTTGATGGTTTGATCAAGTCTAGTAATTTTTGAATTAGGATAGTATAGGCTGGACCCAACTGGGTTATTTGGTGGGTAATTCGCTACTCCTGGCATCTGAGAAGGACTCCTTAGCCACTTCAACCTCCTCCCATCTCCCAGTGGGAAGCTTTGGAATGTCTGACACCCTCTTTCTCTCATATAAATGTGCCATCCATAGATCGCCTCTGTGTACTGGCCCCATGGTTGTTAATTTCTTGACTGTTGGGCTGAGACCTATTAGTTCAAAAGCCCACCAGTGCCAAATCCAAATTTTAACACATCAATTATTTTCAAAATAGCCCAAACAAGCAAATTTTAAGCCATTTAAAGACTGCCTGTTTGCATACTCTGCAAAACCTCACCCAACAGCTGTCACCTAATGATAAGACAAGGCCTTGCAGTTATAAAATCCCAAGCTGCTATTCTTCCCAGCGAGAGCCCTCCTGAGCTTCCTGCCTAGAGACCCCCCACTGTGCTGCTGAGTGAAGTCACCTGGACCCGAAGCCTCCTCTTCTCCCAAGGAGTTCCTCTGCCCGCCTCCCCTTCTGAGTAGCGACACCTGTGCTCTGTGGCTTTTGCACACACTTCCAGCTATGAGGGACTTTGTCTCCCAAGCAACCCTGTCCAAGCACCAAGGTCCTTGTGTGTTGCTGCCCCTTGTGCTCATACCTTTTCCCTTGATCAGCCCCACATCCCTCAATCCCCTGACATCCTCCTCCTCCTCCTCCTCTCCTTCTTTTCTTCCTCCTCTTCCTTCACAATAAACAAACTTTAGTGCTATGGGCTGAGGGGAGGAAAGAATATGGAGATGGAGAAAGGCTGCTAGAACATACACAGCCTTGACTACTGTGAGACAAAGTGAAGCACGGGAGAAGCCATGTTTGCTCCTTCCTGCTTGCACCCCTGACCCTGGGAAGAAATGCAGCTCTTGGGAAGCGTGCATTGAAGACAAACAGGATAGAGCACATGGCCCCCCATGTCTCTGGCTTGACTCGTTACATTCCATAAAAGATAAATGACCCTAGTCCTTGCCTTTTCCTGCACATAAGATAACCCTGACAGGGTTAGTGGTTATATCTCTACAAATGCACTTTAGCAAGCTAGAGCCCAGTGTCCTCTTACGCCCAAACTTGGACGTGGTTCGCACGTGCTGCACCTGCACCACTGTGCCCGAGCCGTCTCAGACTCGCTCCCGGGCCTGGGCCTCGGTCTGTTGTCCTCAGTAACAGTTCTGAATAACACTAACTTTAATTCTTTAAAAGCTTGATTTTTTCCCTTTAGTTGACACTATGTTGATAAACACATGGTCCCTGGTGCCCTGCTGAGTAGCTGGGCGGGGAACTCCCACCCGAGTAGGCTTTGCGCTCAGGAAGCTTCCGCCTCGCTGGGTGGGCCGCACAGGTGCACCGGAACCGAGAGCAGATCGGGTGGCTCCTGCTCACCTGTGCTCCCACAGCCACGGCTGCTTTCCTCCTCTGCTCCCTTTCCCATTCATTCATTCATTCATTCATTCATTCATTCATTCATTCATTCATTCATTCATTCATTCATTCATTTTTCCTTCCACAGATTTTGATCGACTCCCTCCCACGTGACTGGCACTGCTGTGTGGGCAGCGGGTGCAGTGAAGAAGGAGGCAGAGGATGAATGTGATTAATGGTGTCTGGGAAACTCCATCCGGATGGGAAAGGCAGCCAAGAGAAGAGCCCGCCTTCTCGAGCCCCAGTGGAGGGAGGGAGGGGGAGCAGCGGGGGTCAGAAGGACGGCATGGGGGGGTGGGGGCCAGAAACCTCCTTTTCCCGCCTCTCAGGCCTGGGATAGTCAGAAACTGCGGTTCCCTAGGACACTCCTGGCACAGCAGTCCCAGATGAGTTCCCCGCAATGCAATCGCAGGAAGCGCTCAGGGTAAAATCGGGCTCAGGGGGCGGCTACACCCCACACTGCCCTCCAAGACAACGCCCCCCCAAGTGCGCACGCGCGCTGGCCATCCGCGGGTGGCGCCGACTCGGCGTCTGTGCGGGCCGGAAGTCCGCGTTTCCAGCGCCAGCGCCCCAGCGAGGCGCCGCGGCTGGTCAGTAGCCGTATTTTGAGTAACGAGACTTCTGTCTCTTAAATAAAGGTACTAAAAAACAAAAACAAAACCAAAAACCTTCTACTTAGTCCAGTCTTATCTGTCTAGCAGTCATTTACAAACTCACTACAGCACAACTATGAGCACTTTAGGGAGCATTTTAGGAAACATCGCGTTCTCGGCCTCATGGCAATGCCAGGGCCTTGTCAGTCTGGAACGCGCCGTACCGTGTGCGCATGCGCACTGGAGTGTGTACGTGTGCGACGGAAGTCCTGGTGGCAGAGCGTATTTTGCAAGAATATCTAGCAGACTGTCCTCCGTGCTATATGGGAACCTCGTTGGATCCTCCTCAAGAAGTGGAGTCTGTATTTCCCCCTCTTGACCCTGGGCCTGCGTGACAATCTTGGCGAGTAGAGCGTGGCTGAAGTGTGACCTGTGAGGTTGGGTCACAAAAGGTGCTTCCGTTTCCACCTGCTCCCCCTCAGGACAATTTTCTGAGCCTTCAGTTACCACTTGAGAAGTTTGGCTGCCCTGAGGCCACAAACGAAGAGACAGAGAGGAGAAAGAGAGAGGGGCGCCCACGGGACCCAGCCGTTGCAGCACGCAGCTGTTTGATCCTGTTAGCCCGGGCACTCGACATGAGTGACAGCTTTGGAGACAACCTCAGCTCTCACTTCCAGCCTCCGACTGCTTGCAACACTAGAAAAGATCTCAAATGAGAACTGCCAAGCCGAGCCCTAAAGTTAGCTAACATATTTATAAGCAAAATAAATGATAGCTATTGTTTGAAGCCACCATTTTGAGGTGATTTTTAAGCAGCAATAGATGTCCTAGAAGAGTCCAAATAACAACAACCAACCAACCAGATTGAGGATTTGCTTTTTTGTTTTCACTTAGGGCCAGAGAAAGATATGGTATAATCTTTGTTTGAGCTGAGAGAAAAAATATTACTCTTAGAATTTTCCAGCGGATGGAGTCCTCATTGCCTGGAGTTTGGATCCAAAGTGTAGCCACGTTTTCTCTTCATACGCTTCCAAGGATAAGGCTGTATTCCATAATGCCAGATGACACAATCTGATAAACAAGCAGACACCCATTAAAATGAATGACTGTCAAAATTTTTTCATTCTTATTTGTTATTAACGACTGGGAATGTGAAGGTGCAATTCAAATAGTTTATTATTGTTATAGGTTTGTGGCAATATATTACAGTTTACGCCTTGGCTTGGAAGTTGATTACAAGTTTTATGAGACTGAGTGCCTGTTATTGGCAATCTTGATGTTTTCTTTTTCTCTGTAACATGTCACAGACAATTGATTTATATGTAGTCAATGATTTTTTTATATTATATCATTTCAATAAAAAAATTAAAGAAGAAAGCGTGTAGTAAGGAGTGAAAAAAGGATAATGAAGGCTGCATCAGTCATATGGAGAGATTTTAAAGTGTATTAATAATCCGTGTATATTCTGAGGAATCCATTCTAAGAACATTTTATATTCTTTGCGAGAGACAAAACAAACCATCAGCGACTTCTTATAAACACAGGTGGTGCTTATTAACTGAGAAATAAAAATTTTACACTCCTGATGATTAGCTAGACAAGTTTTCATGTGCTCCTGCACTTTTGGGAAATGGCTTTTATTTTCTCTCCTATTTTTCCTCTCAATCCTGATTACTTTCTTTCTATACGAACAGCTTGAGTTAGTGGTGCAGTGATACCTAAAATATCTCTGACAGATTTTGGAAGGGGGGAAGATATTAGCCAATCTATTTTACAAGGATCATGACAATAAAATATGACACTCTACAAATTTTAACAGACATGGCCATGCAGCCTCCATGCAAATAAACAAAGAGTTCATATGTGAATAGAGAATTATGATTTATATCTACAAATAATTGGCTAAAAAGGGAAAATCCAATTTACCTGTTTTATCTGTCATGGCTACATATTGCATGATGTTTCTTAAAATTGCCTGAGTTGACTGATTATTTTGTGACTGTTTCAGTATGTATGGAGGAAAGCACCTAAGCAATAATGACAATGACAAGGAAACAAAACAAAACAAAAACTAAGAGGGTTCTGTGAATCAATAGGGACAAAATATACAAATGAAAAAGTCTTAGTAGTTCATCCAACTGAGGCTGAGTGTGGAGGTTGGTTTCATCTATTACACATATGCTTTGAGAAAGTGAGAGACTGTAGAGAAACCTTTTGAAAGAAGAGGTGATGGATCTTAGAAAAGAAAAATGAGTAGTGTAAAGAGTTGTAAATTTAAACCTCTGGAGAGTAGGAGAGTTGAGAAGTCTGCATGTACCATCATCTGGAAGGCAAGTGATTGGAGATGCTGTCTGACATCAGAAAGCCTTGAATGAGGCTGGGCAGAGAAACTTAAATTTAGTGCATGTTGAAGCAACAGTTTATGGGATAAACTGCAAGATGCAAGAGCCCTTTTTCTAGGAACAAGATTTACTTTCTCACAGTCCTTTGTATCAATTCAATTTCTTGCTCAAAGTGCTATAAAATATTGTATATGAGCACAGATTGGTGTGTATGAAGGTGACTAGGTAAAAAAAATTCTTTAGTTAAATACATAAATGTCTATCAATTATCTGTAATTTAACATTTTAAACTACCTCAGATGATGGCATAGAAGAAGATGATCTAAACCTATCCAGTATTAATTGGGAGATAATACAGTAGCTAGAGCAAAATGAGTTGTATAAAAAAGCAAATGTATGCAGCAAAGCAGGGGACTCAGAGTGGGAATAATTGAGAGGCAGAAGCCTGGATTATTGATCATAGCTCTTGGAGGACATTTATCAGGGTTGGTGCCCTAGTCATATGAGAAGAAAGACATCTCCACTTGCTGCAACGAATTAAACAACTAACAACAAAGAACGGGTTTCTGGAAAGTGATCACTTCCTGCACTGTGTAATGGAATGGACTCCCCCAAATGAGGGATTTGAAACTTAGCACAAGGAAAAGTTGCATCAGGTCTCAGGCAACTGTTACCTCTGGATTTCCTGAGGAGCACTTCTGTCAGTTCATCTGCTCACTTGCCCAGGGAGCTGGTTAGACTTTCTTCTCTCATCGTGGGTGGAGCCTTCCTTGGCTGACACTACATGAACCAAGAAATAGGAGAGGATAGAGGAAAGAACAATAAATACCTGCTAAAGAAACCCTGGGCCTCTTTGTTTTTAGTTTATTATCAACTATATTTGGAATTAAATATTTTCTAGGGGGAAAATAAGCTAAGGAAACATAATTTGGGGTTTGAGATTTAGAGCCAAGACAATGAAGAATGTTTAAGACTGTTTTATCTCTTAGCAAAGAAATTTCACAGCTGAAGTGGTGGCCCAAGAAAAATGTACAGAGGCTTAATGATGAATGAGATTCTTTCATACACCTGAGTATTTATTGAGCACATACTACATGTCCAGCATCTGTTAGTCTTACTTTGGAGATGAAGAGGGATGCAAGTATTATTTTGAAGAAAGAAGTAGCAGAAGTTGATGACATTTGCTGTGTGTTTGAGTAGAAGCAGGGGAGAGGTAAGTGTCAGTATGACATACTTCAAATTTAACACCTAGAGTTTTTTGTTTGTTTGTTTTGAGAAAAAATGGTGGAATACCTGAACATTTGAGATGAGGGTGAACTGGGCCTGAAGAATTATAAAGAGGAAGAAAAAAGAGTCTAATTTAGTGAGGAAGAAAAAAAAAGGTAAGTATACCTACTATACAGATAGACAGGTGGTTTTTCCCAGGGGTCCTCTGGAAACTTCCAATTGTCTCTGGTGGCTGACATAATGTCCACAGGCAAAAGTGCAATTTCAAGCAAAAAGTGGTGAAATTATTTTATTCATGTGTTTGAAAGATTTTGATAATCACAGAAATTCTATTATATGAGTTGCATGATATATTAAATTTAGTAAAAATCACACCAAATATGGTCAAAAGTGATTAATTGATAATGGTATATCAGCTCCTATTATATCAGTGCTTCCACATATAATGACAATGACCTCGGGACAAAATGTAAAAAACAGCTACTTGAAGGCATTGGGGAGCAAACAGAAGGTGGCAGATTCTAGAGTGGCACTGGAAGCTGGGCCAGGGGACTAGAACTGAGTGACTCTTACAATTGTAAGGGTTTTCATTCTGTGGCAAGTCCCAGCTGGTGCCACCTGGGGTTGCTAAAACTTGGACAGAGACCCATCATCTTACTGGTTTACTTCTGTCATGGGACAGAAGTCTAGGTCTCAGCACCTGAAAATTGTGATGGAAAATCCCAAAAAGGACAGGGTTAGAGAAAAGGGTGAATCTGTCCAAATCTTTGTACAATCCCTGAACAACATATTTGAAAGGCAGACTTCAAGTAGCTGGAACAAAGCATAAAGAACTAAACTGAGGTTTCAGAATTTGGCATTTGAGGTCAGCCAGTTGAATTATCTTGCTTAATAAAACACATTTTTTTTTTTTTTTTTGAGACAGAGTCTCACTCTGTTACCCAGGCTAGAGTGCCGTGGTGTCAGCCTAGCTCACAGCAACCTCAAACTCCTGGGCTCAAGCAATCCTTCTGCATCAGCCTCCCAAATAGCTGGGACTACAGGCATGCACCACCATGCCCAGCTAATTTTTTCTATATATTTTTAGTTGGCCAATTAATTTCTTTCTATTTTTAGTAGAGACGGGGTCTTGCTCTTGCTCAGGCTGGTTTCGAACTCCTGACCTTGAGCGATCCACCCGCCTCGGCCTCCCAGAGTGCTAGGATTACAGGCGTGAGCCACCGAGCCCGGCCTGTAAAACACATTTTTAAATACATGAACAGAATCCATAATTTCTACAATAGAGCATTCCTAATGTTCAGTATACAATCTAAAACTACTAGACATATGAAGAAAAATGAAAATGTGATCATACTCAAGCAAGAAAGGAATCAATGGAAAGTGATCTCAAAATAATCAGATGTTAATATTATCAGGCAAGGATTTTAAAGCATCTATTATAATTATGCTCAAGGGTATAGGAAAATATGCTTAAAATGAATAAAAGTATAGGAAATCTCATCAGAGAATTATGAACTATAACAAAATAGAACCAAAAGGAAATTCTATAACTAAAAAATACACCTAAAATTTAAAACATTGCTATATATGCTTGACAACATACTGGATATGACAGAAGAAAGTTAGTGACCTTGATTATCCAATTGGTAGGACAAAAAGATAATAATTTAAACAGAAATGAATATAAAAACACATGAAATCATGGAAAATATCAAAGTACCTAATATATGAGTAATTTGAGTTCCAGAGGGAAAGAAGAGGAGAATTGGCAGAAAAGATGTTTAAAGTATGCTTGATATAAAAAGGAAATATCTAAACCAGCTACTGAAAAATGATATTTTACATATAATAGAACAGCATTCTGGATAATCACCGATTTCTCATTAGAAACTCTGGAAACCAGAAGAGAATGGAATAACTTCTTCAAAGTGCTGAAAGAAAAATAAAAAACTTTCAACCATGAATTCTATATTTAGTGGAAAATCCTTTAAAAATGAAGGCAAAGGGAAAAAAGTTTCAAGTGAAAATCAATCAAGAGAATTTGTCAACAGCAGACCTACACTAGAAACACTAATGAAGCTTTTCTGACTAAAAGGAAATAATACCAGATGTTAACCTATAATATATTTTCAGCAAGGAAAGAGAAATATTAGATATGGTAACTATCTGGGTAAATATAAAATAATTTATCCTTTCTTATTCTCTTTTAAACCACATAGTTCTATTTAAAGCAATAGTCATAGATTTTTCTTGTTGGGTTATTATTGTATGTAGATGTAATACACATGCCAATGTAGCATAGCAGATGGGAAGAAGTACAATGTTGATTGTGAAAAGGCTGAAAAATAAAGGGTGTATATTGTAATCCCTATACTTCTACTAAATCATATATAAAGCAATAAAGCTAAAAAGCCAACAGATAAATTAAAATGGAACAGGAACTGGAGACTAAGAATTAAAGAATACAGATAGGAAATAAATAATAAAATGATAGGCCTAATTTTAGTCATAGCAATAGTATACTAAATATTAATGAACTAAACACTCCAATTAAAGGGCAGAGATGATCAGACTGAATAATAAGCAATACCTAATTATGCGCTGTCTACAAAAAATGTGTTGTAAATGTAAATACATAGACAGATCAACAAGAAATGGATAGAAAAAGGATGTACCATGCAAATGGTAACCATAAGTAGAGGAGAGTAGAATTAATATCAGATAAAACAGACTTTAAGACAAAGAGCATTACCAGAGATAAAGACATTTTATAATGATAAAAGAGTTTATTAGGAAGTGACAACAATCATAAATATGTTTAAGCTTAATAATGGGGTTTCAAACTATGTTAATCAAAAAACCACTTGAGACTCTAATGTGCCTCTTAGAAATTGATAGAAAAACTAAACAAAAAAACTGATAACATTGCCATCATTTGAATATTTGTGCTCTTCAAAACTCATATTGAAATTTGATCCCTAATGTGATAGTGTTGGTAGGTGGGGCATAGAGGGAGGTGTTTGGGTTATGAGGGTGGATCCTTCATGAATGGCTTGGTGCTGGTCTCAAGGTAGTAAGTGAGTTCTCCCTCCTGGGAGACTGGGTTAATTCTGCTAGGCATGGATTGCTTCCCTTGAGAGTGGGTTGCTATAAAACCAGGATACTCCTCAGATTTTCACTTCTTAAATAGGTTAACTTCCCCTTGGCCTTCTCCACTATGTTGTGATGCAACATGAAGGCCCTCGCCAGAAGCCAGGGGCGTGCCCTTGAACTTCTCAGTCTGCAGAACCATGAGTTATATAAATCACTTTTTTTTACAAATTACCTAGTCTCAGGTATTCTTTTATGGCCACACAGAACATACTAAAACAGACATAGACTCAGAACAGCACTATCAACCACCTTGACCTAACTGATAGTCAAGGTCAACTGATAGACCTAACTGATGGGGTAGAATACTACATCCAACAAGAGCAGAACACATATTATTCTCAAGTGCTTGTGCTACGTTCACCAATATAACATAAAGGTTAACTGTGCAGTACAAATTTCAATAAATTTAAAAGGACTGAAATCATACAGAGTATGTTCTTTGATTACAATGAAATTACATTAAAATGGGGAACAATAAAAATCTATGAAAATTGTAAATATTTGAAAATTTAATCAACTCACTTCTAAGTAGCCCAAAGTTCAAAGAAGAAATACAGGGACATTAGAAGGTATTTTTAACTGAATAATAAAGTATGCTGTACAGAAATTTGTTACATATAGCTAAGGGAAATTTATAGCTTAGAGGGAAATTTATAGCTTCAAATGCATATGTTAAAATTTATGTGAAAATCAAAGAAACTAAAGCCAAAAAAATTAAAAAATAACATAATTGAAAGACTTAAACTTTCTGACTTTAAGACTTATCATAAAGCTCTAATAATCAAAACAGTGATAGTTGCAAAAGGATAGACAAATAAATCAATGGTGTAGAATTGAGTCTAAAAAGTGACCCATGCATCCAGATAAAGTTTATAAAGGAGTTCTCTGAACATTTCTTTCAATTTTTCTGTGTCTGAAATTATATCAAAATAAAAAAATCTAAAGAAAGGAATGTAAAAATGTTGAAATGATTTGATAACACACTGGAGTAGATACTAAATGAAGGGGTGAAAGAAATTTGTAAAATAGACAGCTATGCTAAAAAAAACGTATTTATTATTCTGAAATGTAAAATTTTCTAAAGATTATTCTATAATACTTCCTTCCATTTACAGGAAAACTTACACATTACAACTGAGAATGAAAATTTTAATGTGTAATGAGTATTTGTATTATATTAAAATCTAAAAGCATACATATTTAAAAAATTAGGACTCAACAAACCCCTTGGAAAAAAATTTTTAAATAAAAATGAAAGCAAATGTATAACTACACATTACAGCAGATGCTGTTCATGCCTATCCCTAGCCCCCCAGCCCTTGTCTAAGTTCACTTGCAGCTGAGATGGACAGCATCCGTGAATGGTGACAGTTTCTGGCTTCAAACTTCTACAGCTTTGTATTTCTTCACTTTAAGGACTTCTCCAGTGTGTTTAGCTCGCACATATGGTCACCTAGAATTCCTGAGGATTTCACAGACTCAGGAATGTTTATGAATACATACCCCAGCTTCTCCTTTCCTCAATGGGACATTTCTGGAAAGTGCTATGAACATTTTCTCTGGGATGGAGCTCTGGTTGCCTGTAGCCTTAAACCACTCATTGACTCACTGTTTACTGGCTTTTCTCTTGCCCAATGTCACTCTCCTCACTTCCTCAATTGTGTATCCCAGAATCACATCGTAGGCAACTTTCTTTTTTTTTTTTTTGAGACAGAGTCTCGCTTTGTTGCCTAGGCTAGAGTGAGTGCCGTGGCGTCAGCCTAGCTCACAGCAACCTCAAACTCCTGGGCTCAAGTGATCCTTCTGTCTCAGCCTCCCAAGTAGCTGGGACTACAGGCATGAGCCACCATGCCCGGCTAATTTTTTCTATATATATTAGTTGGCCAATTAGTTTCTTTCTATTTATAGTAGAGACAGGGTCTCGCTCTTGCTCAGGCTGGTTTCGAACTCCCGACCTCGAGCAATCTGCCCGCCTCGGCCTCCCAGAGAGCTAGGATTACAGGCGTGAGCCACCGCGCCCGGCCTGTAGGCAACTTTCTATACCCAAGTACTTGTTCAGGGCCTGGTTTAAAAGAAAGCCAAACTACAACACACATAATCTTAAAATAATATAAAGAAGATCACTACGTTCAAAACTTACAGGATGTGACTAATACACTCGGAAGCAAATTTTTAGCATTATACATTTTTATTATTGAAAAAGAGAAATCAAGAACTAATATGTTCATTTTAAAGGTTAGAAATAACCAACCAACATACCTAAAAAAGTAGAAACAAGAAAATCATACAGATAAACACACAAAATTAATTTGTTAGAAAGCAAATAAAAATGAAATTAATCTAGGAGAGCAATCTCTGGGAAAAAAATTAAAAATCAATAAATGTCTGAAAATTCTGATAAACAACAAGAAAATAAAAATGAGACAAGACAAAGCAGCACAATAAGAAAGTGATTATTGTATCAGATATTGAGAAAATCAAATAATTTAAAGAGATTGCTGTGTGTAAGTCTATACTAATAATTTGAACACCCTGGCAAAATAAATAATTTTAAAGTAAAATATAAATTATAATTAACTTAAGAAATAGATAACTTATTGTAATCATGGAAGAAATTAAAAATGTTTTTAAAGAATTATTTTGAAAATGCTCTAGAACTGGATTATTTTGACATAACTTTTTTCAAACTTTAAAATCATAGCTCATTTCTATATTATATAAGCTATTTCTAAGTATAGATGGAAAGATTTATAAGTTCTTTCATAAAAAATGAATAAATTTGATACCAAAACCTGAGATAGATCAAAAAAGAGAACAACCATTGCACATTTTTTTCTTCTGAATATGCTTAAAATATGAAAATATCTACAATCAAAGGGCAGTAGTTTACTAGGCATTAAAGAGCTAAAGGCATTGCCATTATAATTTAGAACAAAACATAGATGTATGCTATTACCACTATCAATTTACACTGTTCTAAAAGCTCTGGCTATTAAAAACAAGACTAAAAAAAGGATAGAAGAGGTAATATGCTTGTTGCCGAGAAATAAAGCTATTATTGTTTGCAGATGACACGATAGTGTATCTAGAAATTGCAAGAGATCAACTGAAAAACTGTCAAAACTAATAAGGTTTGTTAGTTGATTGATTAAATTAATAACTCTTACCACAAGGGCACACTGACTATGATAGATTAAACAAGATAGAAATTTATTTTCATCTGTCTCAACAGTCCAGAGTTTGGTAGTCAGGAATGGCAGAATTGCTCTGCTCCATGCAGTGACTCAGAGACTCAGATTTCTTTTAGCTTCCTGTCCAACAGTCCTCTAGAACAGGGGTTGGGACACATTTTCTGCAATGGGCCAGAAAGTAAATATTTTAGGTTTTGTGGTGTATATTGTCTCTGTCACATTTTATCTTCCTTCCTTCCATCCTGTCTCCCTTCCTTCCCTCTCTCCCTCTCTTTCTTTTTTTTTATTTATTTATTTATTTATTTATTTATTTATTTATTTATTTATTTATTTATTTATTTATTTATTTATTTTAACAACCATTTAAAAAGGTAAAACCCTTGTTAGCTCACAGACAATACAAAAATCAGGGCACAGGTTAGATTGGGCACACGGAACATATCTGGCTAACTCCTTCTCTAGAATTTTTTTATTTTTTTTACTTCTTTGTGATTACAGATGACTTATTTTAAGCCTGTGTTCCAGGAAAAAAACATGAACTTTTTTTGGAGATGACTTGGAAATTGTACATATCACTTCTATTCACATTCCATTAGCTAAGCATGGTCACTTGCCTACACATAGATGTAAGGGCAGTTGGGAAATCCGAGTAGCCATGTGACCAAACAAGAGGAAAGACACATACTTGGTTGGGACACCTATACATTATTCTTACTGATTAAAATGAGAATTTAAAGAAACTCGATATTTTACTGAGTAGCAGTAATTCCCAATTAGAAAATATAATGGAAAATGGATCTTTTACAATAGCAAAGTTTCTCCAATAACAGCCTAGAAAATTCTGAACCAAAAACATTCAGAATCTACGTGAAGAGAATTTAAAAATATATAATGAAGAAAGTAAAAGTCAACAAATTAAAGACAAATGAAATCGCCAGATGTAAAAACTGAGTATTTAAGGTACATATGTCAAATTTTCTCAAATTATTATAATAATTGATAAGTTTAATACAATTCTAATAAAAACTTCAGCAAGATTGCTTTGTGGGTTTGATAAAGTAATTCTGAAATGTGTCCGGAAAAATAAATGGGAGCAAATTCCCAGAAAAAAATTTGAAAAGAAATGAGAGGGAACTTGATCTACTAGATATTTAATTGTAGGGGCCATCAGTCAAAAGGGGGTTCAGGGGAGATGCATAGTTGCAGCAAAGAAAGCCCATTGCCCCTTCTAACAATTCTTAGGTCACACAATTTTGGGAAACAGAAGGTTCTAGTGCAACCACTTTCTGCGTGAACTTAGGCAAATTATTTAATCATTCTGAGCATCAATTTTATAATAAAACTAAGCCAATACATACTTAATAAGAGTTTATTAAGGATTACAATTTTTTTCTGTACAACCTTTTTTTACCATTTTATAAACTGTTGGAGGAAAGGACTTTGTCTAACTAAAATTATATTAAATCCAATGTTCCTGGTGTAGGTGCACCACGAAGGATCTCAATACATGCCTATGGTTACTGACGATGAAGAAGAGGAGGAGGAGGAAGAAGAAGAGAAGGAGAAGGAAGAGACTTGATAAGTTAACATGACCTTGTCTTTTATGCTATCGAATTTCACACAACAGTTCATCTAAGAACAAGTTGGGTAAACAAGTTGTCAGTTGGGTAAAGAAAGCTGCTCTAAACTTTAGTTCTATTGCCAGCCACATAGCAGTGGGAATGTTACTTAATTTCCCTGTGCCTATATTTTCTCCCCAGTTAAATTCAGATAATAATTCAATTCACATGGCTGCAATGATGATGAAGATGATGAAAATAATAAACAATTTATTGATCACATACTGTGTCCTAGACACAAGGTACTTATAATACATTAAATCATTTACTTCTTTACACAAATCTTAAGAGGTAGGTACTATTGTTGTCACCATCATCATTATGGTGTTATTTGCATTTTGACAGATGAGGAAACAGAGGTAAAGGGATTTCTGTAACTTGCTCGAAGTCACACAGCTATTTAATGTTGGCATCAGGATAAACCCGGGAGAGCTCTTCACTATAAGGGTGCTACTTGCATAAGTGCTGAGCAATGGGCCCTACCCAGCATAGGTAATAAATAACAGCACAGGTAATAAGTAATAACTAAACAACTGTTGCACTGGGGCACTCACATTGCAGAGGTGGTCAATAGAGGTTGCACGCTGTGATCTAGCTGGACTGTCTTGTCATGCAATCTTTATTTAAACAAAGGGTAGGTTAAAGGCACAGTGAGTCCCTTGAGGTCAGGGGCTATGTCTTGCTTTCAAAGCACTTGGGACAGTTCTTGGCATGTGATAAACATTTAATAAATGGGGCTATCAATGTGATAGTTCACCACCATGACCAAAACGTCTAGACAAGTACCTGGCTCTTTACAGCTCCTCAGCAAATATCTACTGATTGAATGAATACTTCAATACATTTCTGAATTTCAAATGTCTTTGATATTCCTAAGTTTTCCTAGAGTTATGATTTTAAGGTAGTGAAATGTACTCCACCGTGAAAAGACTTCTTATAAATCAATGTTTGTCTACTACAATATCTTTCCTGTTTAAATTTGATTTAACTCTAGGGAATTTGTAAGGGAATGGTAACAGTCTGCAATAAAGGTGAAACCCTAATTCACTTTGAATCAATTGCTTGAATGTTTAGGAATAGTAACTGATTATTTTCCAGAATCCTGGTTGATGTGTTTTATTACAGATATGCATTGTACCCAGTTTCACACAATCCAGTGACATAAGTTTCAGCAAGAATGATGGATTTCAAAGAAAACATATATTCTACTTGCAGTATTACCAACATGACTATTTTCAATTGTGAATCAAATGTTTGAGTTGAGACAATGAACATAGCCATGCTGTTTTATAAGAATTTTGTGGGTTTACCAATGTTCATTTATTTTAATCCTCTCTGTAAATTTTGTCTAGAAATCTCTATATGAATACACTGGTTACCAAGTAGAAATGCCCCAGAAAAACGTTATTTTGCTGTGGTGGACTAAATGATTTGCTGGGCAAAAATAAAACCACTAAAGATAACAGATACATTTTAAAATTGTGCTTTATTACAGAGTTTTGTTTGCAAGAATAGGCATTGCCTATATTTCAGAAAATTGGAAGTTTCCAGAATTTTGTTGTGCCAATTTAGGTTCCTTTATCTACAGCTATAGTCTACCTTACTAATCACTTGGAAATGGGGTGTCCCAGAGAGAGACATGTGACCCTACTTTATCAACTCTTATGGAGATGAATCCTTAAAAATCAGAGAAATAATAGTGGGGGAGAGAGAAAAAGAGAGAGAGTGAGCAGAGGCTGGAAAAATAATCTTTTGCTCTCTATATTAGCTCCTAAGATCATCCCCAAATAGCTGCTTGAGACCTCAATTTATTGAACCTAATGGAGAGCTGGAATGGTGGGACTGATAATGATTATGATGTGCAGCTTCGCCGAGGTCATGGGCTTGGTTAATTCCCTTCCAAAGGGACGGGAGGAGAGAGGGAGCTCAAGAAGGGTGAGCGCAGCCAATGCAGCCCCTCACTTTCAAGCTAACTGGGACTGTTTATAATGAATGTCCCTGCCTCCATCAAGGGCATTTCTTCCATTTAACGAGCACGCGGGAAGCAGACATTGCTCAAGTACAAGGGTTCAGTTTGCAGTGAGCCACAAATCACATTTCATTTATCAGGCCCTACAGATGACAGGATATCATCGAATCCCTGGAGAGCCATATTCATTAAAAAGAAATCTTAAGTAATTACAACAATTAATTGACTTGAAACAGTTTCTGGTGGATAAGGTTTACATAATTCATTTGCCAGGCAAAACAAGCCCGATCGAATCCGAGAACATGTTATTTAAGAGCGCCCCTCTCCCTGACAAGGTAGCCTCATGGAAAGGTGCCTATCAGTTGGAGCCTTCTTCTTTTTTAAAGGAAAGAATAATTTTTAAAGTGAGAAATGGGAACCTGAAAATATCTGACAGACTCTATTTTGAGCCCATGAAATGGTTCTGTAGCACTTCTTTACTTAGCACTGTTTCTAAAACTGATGAATGAAGATGAAAACAGGTTGTATTGATTGAGAACACTGAGTCTGTGGCTTTGAGGAGGTAGAGATGGGTTCAAAGCAAAGGCCTTCCAAAAAGCTGAACAATGATGTAAGACAAGATCAAGGCCCAGACTAAGAACTCCATTTCCCCCCAAATAAGAACTCCATTTCCCCCCAAACAATTAGTCTTGTCAAATTAACATTTTGCCAGTGAGTGCCCCAATGCAACAAATGGCATTTTTCAGCCATTAGTCACATTACTGAAGAGCCATAGCAAATAATCTTTTCTGTGCTGTGCAATATGATTCCCCAATCACCTGGTAACGCCTGCAACCTAACATTAACCATATTAGCAGCCTTCTGCTACCTCAGCATCTGTTGTTGGAGAAACGGTTTAGAGAAGTCCACCTAACAGGAAACTATCCTCTAATCCAGTTCTGATGCACCTTATTGGAGTGGTAGAAGAATGGATGATGGTAACTCTTAGGAAAACAGGGCGGGGAGCATATACTGTAGAATTTTTGAGATTGCTATGTCTTATTTCATGGCCCCAGTGAGGGTTACTAGGGAATCTGGCTTTTAGAAGTCACAGGGGCAGCCTCGTTTAAAAGGCCACAGTTGGGACAGGCACTTACATCTAAGAGTGATAGTTTCTCAGGTTTGGTTCTCTTAAATTAAGCCACAAACTGCCTGCCTCAGTATCCCCTGGGAAGCTTTCTGAACATAAGAACACAGGGCTCAGGGCAGACACCTGGGATGAGAATCACCCAGGGAGGGGCTTGAGCCGGTGCTGTTTCAATAGGCATCCTACAACACGATGGCCATGGTGAGGTTTGGAATTATTAAAACACCTGTAGAATAAATTTTATTTCATTGGTGTTTTCTGAAATTACTCCATTTTCCTTCTCAAGATTTCCCATAGCCTCACTTTTGCCACTTATTGGAATGTTGCACATTTCTGGAGCCTAGAATTACAGAGATAAGTTGCAATGTTATGGGTCTTATCCATCCAACACATTTTATTGAACACCCAGAGCTAGAGCTACAGCATGAATAATGTCCCCTGACATTTGTTTTGTACTTTCTTGGATTTCTTTATGGGTAGGTGGATTTCTATTTGTTATTCTATTTTTCAGGTTTATAATTGCCATTTGGCTTAACAAGAATAACTCCCATGTCTTCACTGAGATTTTCTAATTTGTTATTTGTTTCAAGAGAATCTGTAATGAATTGTTGACGCATTTTTAGGATGGCTGATTTAAAACCCTTGTCAGACCATTCCAACATTGGATTCACCTGATATTCATGTGAGTTGGTTATCTTTTCTCATTCAAGTGGTGATTTTCTTCATATGATGAGCCATTTTTCTATTGCATCCTTAATGTTTTGGCCATTATGTTAAGGAAGTCTGGGTCTCATTTAAATCTTTTATTTTGGTAGGTAGTTATCTCTTACAGGTCAGTTGTCTCTTACAGGTCAGTTTTCAGGACCCTGTCTGATTTGGGGGGCTGTGGTTCCAATGGCAGTTGGATATTCCGAGCCTTTGTGGTATTGTGTGCTTGGTTTACGTGGTGCCAGTGAGGCTGTCCCTGGTCCCTCTGGGGAAGCTGGAGGGGCTGAGGGGTTTTCCCAGGTGAGCCTCCCCCACGTCCACCTCGCTGGGTGAGGAGGCTTCCACGTCTAGTCACTTGCTGCAGGGCAGCTGCGGTATTTCTCAGTGGTGAAGGGAGTTTCAAACCCTGTGGGGTAGGAGAGCATCTCTCCTGGTAGCTTTTGTTGGTGGGGCTCCAGGATCCAGGGATCTAGGCTCCTTGCCAGGGTGGATGGTGCGGGCTTGCCTCCTGTTGTTGCAATGACCCCTGTTTATTCCATTGCAGGAATGGAGCTGCCTAGGCTGCCTTCTGTTGCTAGGCTGGTGTTGGAAAAATGCTGGGTCTGGGTCACCTTCAGGAGAACGTGAAATGTTCTGCATCTATGATGCTCCTGGGGACCCAAACCAGGCAACTTTCATCTTATCACCTTTCAGAGTTCTTCTTTGGTTGCCTCTTGTTCTGTTTCCAGGATGTGTAGTTGTATTTGATGGGGAAAAGGGAAGAAGGAAATGGGTCTATGCTATGGATAGATTTCAAAAATTAATTTCCCATGGAACTAAACAGATTTTTTAAAAAAATAATTTCAAAGCAAAGTTTTTTGTTGACCTATACTAACATGTGGCTCCAAAGTTTTTTTAAAGATAATTTCCTATGATGCTATTTAAGTGACATAAGATGTGTTAATAAATTATCATTTGCCCAATTATATTTCTATATGAAATTATGCATCAAAAATACCATGGAGTTTGCAAAACTCTATAACCTGGGAAGATAAAACAAAAAAGAAATACTCTGGTTTCAGTTTCTGGTTATATATCAGAGAAAGTTCACACTCTCGTTTAGTACTTTTTCTCCTTCTGTCATCCTTGAATGGGCAATTGATTATTTGAGATAGAGGCAGTTTCCAGAGTTTATGCCCAAAGTTTCCCCATAGGTCTAGGTCAGTAGTGCATCAAAACTGGCTGATTAACAGAATTGCCTAACGATCTTAGCAGTCCTGACCTCCTGGGTCTGACCCTTTAAAAATTCTAAGTCAGTGGGGTGAGGTCCCCGAATGTATATGTTTTTCTAAAGTTCTCTAAGCAGCTATGATGATCGGCCACATTTGATAACTATATTTAACCAAGAAAGTAGGACATCTCTAAAATGTGATTGAACCTAAAGAGAAAAGGCCCTTTGCCAAGGGTGGCACTTTGTACAGGGAAAGCCAAAAGGAAAATTGAAATGTTAAACTTTGCAAGAATTTTGGCAGGCATATTTTAAAAGGGAGAATGAAAACCCAGGAACTACCGAGGAGTATGACAAGGGTTATACCAGGGTTGAGACATCTAGCATGTGAGAAAAATGACTGAAGTAATGGTATGTTTGACTTGGCGAAGACAAGCTTTGCGGAGGGCGTGTTAATTGCCTTCAGATGCTTAAAGGATGGTTTGGAGAAGGAATTAGACTTCTACCGTGTGGACTGGGAACCTGAATCTTTAGCAAACTTCCCAGGTGATTCTGAGGAAGTCTTGGGGACCTCGAAGGAAGCAAGCCCCTGGGACATTCCTGGTTATGGGAGGGTTCATCCAGACTTTCATAGAATGGTTTGGGTGCTTGAGGATGGGAGAGCTGCTGGGGAGAATTGAATAGGGAGCCTGCCAAGATGGAAAAGGAAGGAAGGAGAAGAGAGAAGGGGAGGGGAGGGGAGAAAGGAAAGAAGGAGGGCGAAGAGAGGCAGGTGTGGAGGGCCCCTGCCCCAATCACATGCTTGTTGTGTGACTTACTGTCATACAGCTCAGCCGTCTGGGAATATGGCAGAGAAAGAAGGAGAGCATTAACTTGAAATCAGGAAGGGGAAAGGCAGAGAAAGAGTGAAAGGCCAAGGGATAGAAGGAATTTTGGCTGTTGGTAAGACAGATTTATGCAGGATCTCGGCCAAATAGGAAGGGAGGTAAGATGAGAGGAAGCCAACAGACCTGGAATAGTCAGTGGGGCCAGTGGGCTAGCGGTTGCCACCAGGGTGAGGGGCAGGCTCAGGGACAGTGAGGAAGAGGAGAGCACTCTAGATTTGGAGTCGTTCCTGCTTTTCATGGTCTGTGAGATGAGGAGACAGCAGTGACTAGCACTGGAGCCAGCCAGAAGCCAACACTTTGCCTGGGACAGTGCTCCCCGAACCCAAGTGTGCGCCAGAGTCACGTGGAGGCACTGCCACGGCACAGGGTGCTGGAGCCCGCCCCGGAGGTTCCGGTGCAGTAGGTCTGTCAGGGGCCTGAAGTTTGCTTTCCTGACGAGTTCCTGGTGATGACAGGGCTATGGTCCTGGGACCACGTTTTGAGAGACAGTGGGACCACGTTTTGAGAGACAGTGACCTAGGAAAACACTGGGTTTCGTTAAATTGACACACTTGGAAAGGATGAAGACATAATAAACTGTCCACCGTACGGGGCTCCAGAGAACAGAGTACATATGGCAGGGGGTGGTTGGGGATGGTGGTGGGGTCATGATGCGCTGCCCCGGGGCAAGAGTTTGGGCATTCTTGCTGCTGGGCTGAGCTGGGTGGGTTCTAGGGTGTTCTCAAGTAGCTACACTAGTCTGTATGTGCAGTTCACGCTTATCCATCACTAGTTATTTAAAATGGGCTCCTTGCCACGCATATTTGACTTTGTTGATCCCAAAGAGAGGCGTAGCTCTCTTCACTGTGCCTGAAAGGGGTTTCGGATCACAGCAGAATCGAGTGGGGTTGGCACATTCACAAGGAACGAACAGTTAGACAACAGAGGCCTTTGACAAAATCCGATGGTATGAGGACTTTATTCTTTTTCTTTAAGTCTTTCAGTGACTTCCCATTGCCTTTAGGGTACAATCTAGAATCCAGAGTACCATGTACAGAGTTCTTTACAATCTGGCCAAAGGCAATTATTTCTCCCTTGTTTTCTGGACACCAGTCGCAAAGGCTGCGTCCTGCTTCCGTGCGTGCACCATGCCTTCCCAGCAAGGCCTTCCCACGTTTGTGCGTTTTCCTAGATCGTTTTTTCTTTTGCTTTATTAGCTAGCTTCTACTGATTCTTCTACTATCAGCATAAGTGTCTCTTGTGGGGAGAACTTTCTTAACCATCAAACTAGAGCCCCTTTCTCCTCTTCTTTCTCAAACAGGTCTCACAGTTGTAATTCCACTTTTACTATCAGTTGTCCATTTTCTACCAGTAGTAGTAGAATAGGAGACAGGTACCCAACGCATCCCAGTTTGCCTAGGACTTTCCTGGTTTTAGAACTCCAAGTCCGGTGTCCTGGCCACCCCTCAGCCCCAGGCAAACTGGGTTGCTGGGCCATCCTAGCCTAGTCCCCGCCACACCCTCAGATCTAACACCATGATGGGCACGCATCACATCACATCACGTCACATGCTCAACATATGTGCAGGAAGCAGAATTGAGTCGTGCTAAAAGTGGGTAACAGGCCAATCAGCCCTCACTCTTAATATCTCTCTGACCTCGACAAACCTTACTTGAGAAGGGAGAAAGGATGGTTAACGGCCACTGTTCAAATGACTTTGGGGGTCTGGCTTTAACATTTCACTTTGAAAGCCAGTGGGTGGATTTAAGACGATAGATACATGACAATCCTCAAAATACCGCTACCTTTCTACTGGGTTCACTAGTAAATTAGTGAACCCAGTGAACCCATTTTCTTGAGAGAGTTTTCAAAAATTACCTAATGAAATGCAAATAGTCTGGTAGGAGATTACTTTAAATTCTATCAGCTGCAATTTTGCAGGGGGAAAGGGAATTAGCACTGGCTCCAGCATAGGGTGGCCTGTGTTGGGCTGTGTTGACACGCGGTGTCTCTTCTTCCTCTGCAATCCCGGGGACATGGATGTCTCCAAGTCAACATGCCATCTGTGCTCATGAAGAAATGAAGTGTCTTCCAAGGAACAAAGTGTCCTGAGTCAAGCTCCAGGAAACAAACTCAGTAATGCATCTGGAAAGCCCTTTGCCATGTTAAACACACTCTTGACGGCTTTGAACTGTTTCTGCGTATTTCTTCACACAGCGTGTCTAAGAGTCAGCATCAAGTATTTCAGTCTTCCAAACAAGAAAATTAGAAAGCGTGTTCTGTTCCCACGGCGACAGAGGAAGGGCAGAGGCTATTAGGACAACTCATCTCCTACAATATTGAAAACACCCTGACGGGCTTGTCCAGGTCAGAAGGACCCGCCGGGGCTGGCAGTGGGAAGGGCAGGGGCGGTGGCGGCTCTCAGACAGGTGCGCGGCCGCCCACGTGGCCCTGCTGGTGAGGCAGAGAGGGAGGCCGGGAAAGGGAAACTGAAATGCTTGTCCTCAGACCTGCGAATGCTACTTTCCTCTCAAGCGTGTCTCTACCTCGGACTTTGAGAGAAAAGACAAAGCAAAGCAGAAGACGGAAAGAAGATGAAAAGAGGGTCAAGAGGAGAAACCGGGGAGGATGCGCAGAGCCGGTTTGGTCCCATGAGCAGGACTCCCTTTGCTCCCCTGGTCTCAGGCCGGGGCGAGGGGCAGCCTGGAATGACCCTCCACGCTTTCTTGACCCCGACAGCTATCCCAGAGCCAGGTGTTTCTGTCGTCAGATGAACCTGTGCGCAGAGAGTGGCGTAGGTCAACCCAGAGCCAGCGGCACTGTTCCTGTTTGCTATGTTACAAGTTACCCCAGCACTTTAGTTGCTTAGAACAGACACCATCTCGTTGTGTCTCATGCTTTTGTGGGTCAGGGATTTGGGCAGGGCCCACTTGGGTGACTCTTCTGTGCCATGTGGCGTTGCATGTGGTTACGTGGTGGCAGAAGGGGACTGCTCTGAGGATCCTAAACAGATTTGGTCCCCAACAATATCCAGGTCCTGACCCCCCAAAACCTGTGAATGTCACCTAACATGGCAAAAGGGGCTTTGCAGATGTGATTAATTTAAAGATCTCGAGAAGGGGAGATTACCCTGGATTATCTGAATGGGCCCTAAATGTAATCAGAAGTATCTTTACAAGAGGGAGGGAGAGGGAGATTGGACCACAGAGCAGGAAAAGGGCTACGTGAGGACTGATGCTCGATGTTCCCTTGCTGGCTTCGGAGGTGACAGAAGAGGGTGTGAACGGAGGAAGGCATGGAACGCAGCTGTGGTTGCTTGGAGAAGGCAAAGAAACAGATTCCCTTCCAGAATTCCTAAAGGAAGACAGGCCCTGCCAACACCTTGGTTTGGGAACCAAGTGAAACTGATTTTGGACTACTGACCTCCAGGACTATAAAGAAATAATGTGTGCTGCTTTAAGTCGCCAAGTTTGTGGCCATCTGTATGGCAGCCTTAAAATTCTAACACAGTGGAGGGGATTGGAAGACTGGACTGAACCAAGACCATTGAACAGAGTGGCCGCTGTGGCCCCTCTAGCCCAGAGCTGGTCTCAGCACTTCTTCCACGCCAGCTCAGGACTCCCAGACAGAGGGCTCCAAGAGAAGAGGAGGAAGCTCCCAAGTTCTTAAGGCTTTTCCCATCACAGAGCCTGCTCAGATTTAAAGGATGGAGGCATAGACCTCACCTTTTCATGAGAAGTCTTGTGTCAAAGATTTGTGTGGCTGTCTCTTTACTGCAGGAAAGAATACTTTCAACACTCGTGCCCCACTGACCATGAATCAGCAACATCACGTTTGTACGCTTATTCCATCTGCTGACTTTCAAAATCCTGGTTCTGTGGTAAGTATAATCATTTATCAGTTTGACATAAAAACCAGAGTGATATAGGTTCTTTTGTGTCCCTGATGGAATGCAAAAAACACAGTGGCTTAAGTCATTCTGAAAGAGGTCAAGAAAATAAGCAGGTTTTTCACAGGGTGTTCACTCATTCATTCGTTTCTAGTCTTTCTGTATGATCTGCCAGAAGATAGACGCTGTATCAGCGACTGTGACCAGTAATGTCGAAGGTAGGTACTGTGGCAAAACTGACAAATCTTCACCAAAAAACTGGTATCAAATAGGGGAGCTTGAATTTCTGTCTTCTTTAGTCTGAGCATAATGACTACCACAAACTAGACAGTAGACACTGCAGTTTCTTGGAAAATACCACGGTGAGCTCTACTTCCAACCTAATGTGTGGTGTGGATGGATGTTCAGAGTGATTCCGCCTGCTCCTGTACACTGTCTCTTCTAATCCTCATTGCATCCTATCTCTCAGCTTATTACATCTAAAAACGGGAAACTGAGCCTGAGAAAATTTGCCTTGCTAAATAAATGATGAAATCAAGAGTGTGGGTTGGCCTTTTGCTTTTTCTCAGCTGAGAGAAGGTTCGTGGTGGCGAACACATGATACAGGGGCACAGAGAGTGAGGTTTCCCTTACACTTCAGAACATGCCATTTTCCTGTCATTGCAGAAGCACGAGGTTTTCCCACAGCTGGCTGACTTAGCAGGGGTGCAGGTGTTTGAACATCTGGAGCAGAGATGGGTCCGAGAAGGGGCTCATCGCATTAGCCCCTGCAATGCACACTGGCTGACGTCTTGAGGGAATAATACAGTCAAGACAGTGGGAAGGAACTTTGCTTGTGAAAACAAACTGGATGGACCCACCATATTGTAGAAACTCAGTTACCTTCTGGCTGCGCCAAGGTACAAGTTTGGGTCTGTACAGCAGCCCGTGAGAAGCGCTGCAATTAGAACCTCTCCGAGTAATCTCCAGGCTTTTAAGAAATCATAACAACATAAGAGCAGTAATAAAGATGAAACACCTCTTATCACAACTGGAGACCTCTGGGGTAAGGCATTATTTTCTGGTCAGAAACTCGTGAGATGACTTTTGTCACATGGGAGCAAGGGCTGGACATATACTCTTAGCGGAGATCAAGTGCTCTTTGTGGCGAGGAGGGCTTCAGGGTCCTGGGTGACTAATTAACATCACCAACCACTTCTATTCCTCATTAAGAACTGGCTATGGGCCAGGCGTCTTACTAGGACCTTTATTTGTAGTATTCTTCTGTGGCTTAAAAGAGACATTTTTTTCCAATCCACCTGTTATACTCCATTTCTGTGTTGTTATCAGGAATGCATGAAGCCGGGTGATTTATTTAAAGAAGAGGTGTGTTTGGCTCGGAGTTCCGCAGGCTGCACTGGGAGGCTGGGGGCAGCTTCTGCTTCTGGAGGGGGCTGCAGGCTGCTGGCACTGCCGGCGAAAGGCGAAGGGGAGCCCATGTGTGCAGGGCACAGGGTGAGAGAGGGAGGGAGAGAGGAGATGCCAGGCTCTTTTCAGTCACCGGTTCTCATAGGAACTCACTCATGCCCAAGAGAACTGCAGCAAGCCATTCATCCGGGACCTGCCCCCACAACCCAAACGCCTCCCACCAGGTCCCCCCCAACACTGGGGGTCAGATTTCAACATGAGACTTTGTGGGGCCAAACCAACCACGACCAACCCACAGCAGCCACTTCCAAGGAAAGTGTCTCAAAATTCCTCTGAGTCTAGAGACCTCGTTACAGAGGGGGCTGCTGAGCGCTGCTGACAGCATAATGGGAGAAATGTTGCAGAGATGAGGTGGAGGTGGGTTGTTCTCATAATATTGCACTGTTTTATTACTACAATTTCAGATTCAGAGGCAATTAAGGTGTTACTAATATTCCAACGTCACTGCTACAGACTTTATAAAGAAACATGTAAATTGGCTGCAGAGCGTTAGGCCTTGTCAACAACCAGACGATGGAAAGAAGAAATATATTGTTGTTGCTGGACATAGCAAACATGTATAAAGTAGGATATCGTTCAGCTGCATGTGATAGAAAACCCAAAATAGTGTGTGTTATTCAAAATAGCTGTTTTCTCTTTCTTTCCATGAAAGGAGACTGGGGTAGACAGTGCACTAGGGTCTGGCCACTCCACAGCGCCCAGAGATCTAGTTCTCTCTCTCAAAGTCTGATGTCCTGTGGTCTAGGAGCTTTCTGGAGGTCTAGGTCTAGGTCTAGGTCTAGGTCTAGGTCTAGGTCTAGGGCTTTCTGGACTGCAGCCAGTGTAGCTGTTTCATCCACCAGGAAGGAGAAGGGAGAGGGAAAACATAGCAGAGGAGAAACCAGCTATCTTTAAGGGGCCTCCTAGAACCTGCCACACACACCTCCACTTTTATCTTCATCAGGGAGATGGAAAATATAATCTTCAATCTGGGTGAACCTGTATCTAGCTCAAAATCAGAGTCTGCATAACAAAGAAAGATAGGAAAAACCAATTTGAATAGACCAAAACGCAGGGATTAGAAAAAAGACCTGATTTTTGACTGGATTTCAGTACGTAATACAAACATACTAACATTAAACATGTCTCCCCTTTCCAAAAATACATTAGATTAAATCCCAGTACATGTATCATGAAAGTACTTTTCTTTTCCTTAAAATCTTATTCTGATAAAACTGGATGTATCTTATGCTTATTCGTGTCTTCTATTTGGGTAAAGATGATAAATAGCTCACTGACTTTACTACCTCAAACCTATAAAGCAGGCAATATTATCCTCCTGGTTAAAAAAGGTTAGAAAGCTTGTTCTATCTCGGCCAGAATTGAAGTACAGAATGTGTCTGGTTTCAAAATATTTAATGCTTTCTGAAAATGTGCCAAAACTTTTGGACTCCAGGAAAGAAAATAACCTTGATGTGAGAGGCTTCTCCCACTTTCTCCTGCACTAGAGCACGGTTTGGTGGTAAAGAGAGATCGTTGAAAGCTGAGGAAGACGGTGGCACTGTCACAGGAAGGAAAATCGCGACAGAGGACTCACCCATCTGGCCTGATCAGAGCATCCTGCGTGACTATGAAGAGGTAGTATCGGCAGAATCTTGGACTCCTAGGTTCTTTCAGCTGCATTTTGTTGCTTCTACCACAGCGACACAGTAGGTCCCAGCTGAATTTGTGTCACAGCTGGTGGGCAGCTTGTCTAAACAGTCCAGACTGAATTTCCTTGCTTCCAAATACTACGGAAGACCCTGAGTGCAGAGTGAGTGTGAAAAATAAACTCCCAGACCATTTATATCTGTTGTAAATTGAGGGGGAAAAATCCACAAGTAGAAGAATAGCTTGGTTTGGTATTAGAAGAATGTATTTCTAAAGAGGATACATGGAGAAATCTGAATAACAAAATGGTATTGGGCAAAGGCGGTTAACACAATGTTGGAATCTAAATGTTTCCAAAAAACAAGTGTCTTCCTTTATCAGCATTGTAATTTATTTGAGTGTTCAAATGTTTAAGTCTTAAATCCTAGAGAAGCCTAATAGCATTTTGCCCCAGATTTCCTCTCAAGAGAAGACTTGAGTATGCCAGGGCAGAAATACGTGGACTGTTTATAAGGCCGCAGGTCCTTCTCTATATGGCCCAGCAATGCAGGAGAAATACTAAATGGAGCACACCTCTACTGGTTTTGATACAATGTGATGGGCCCTCTGCTCCCAGACAGCTAGGTCTCCTGGAGCTGTCTCTAAGCATCTGAATAACTCTCTGGTCCATGGCCTGTTCGTGCAGTCAGAGGCTTCTCAGGTCCCGGGTCAGAGCTGCAAACAGAGGTGAGGTTTAAAAGCTCCAAGCCTCAAACTTTACCATTTGAGCAGTAGTGTAGTGAAGACCACCGCTACCTTCTACGCCAGGGGAAAAAGAAGTCGGTTGGACTTGAGTGTGTTGTTGGAAAACTGGTAAAATCAGTGTCTTACTGAAACCCAAGCACTGTGAGTGAAATTAACCCTTGAATCCCCAGATTGGTGACTTGTCATTAATGCTTTGGGACTTGCTGTCAGGCACAATCACAGAAGGTGATATAAAACACATCAGCATATTGTGGAGTTTACCTCTAAAATAGGCACGCCGAGTTCTTTCCTGGACACATACTTCAGAATTTAAAATATCCATGTGAATTCCAGTTTACAAACCACTACCAGCCAAGGGATCATTAAGTGTCGCGGCTTGTCTCTGCTCCTCGCGCTGTGACAGAGTGGGGCAGACGGCTCGCCAGCGAGGAAGGGGACTGAGGAGGTGAGGGGCATTTCTTAACCACAGAGTCAGGGAAATCGTGTCCCTTTTCACTCTAAGTACTACTGGGTGTGGCCTTCAAGGCTGAGAACCGCACACTTGCATGGGGAAGTTCTTTCTGGATTCACAAGCGTGGGGATATCCAGCTTTGCCATTAAACAATGTCAGCCTCATTCCTTCCTTATTTTGTTCATTCACACATTGATTCTTTTAGCACATTTTTGAGTGCTTTCTGTGGACAGTGACTGTGCTAGTCTTTAGGATCATGAGGAGAGAGAAAGGCGATCTAGACACTGTTGCTTATAATCCATAAGATTATAAGTTGGGGAGAGAGACGGGATTGCAGGAACGAGGTACAACTGCCGCTTCAGAAGAGCAGTTCAAGGGAGCATGACCGTCCCTAACCGGCTGCTTGACGCGGGCCGGTGGGCGAAGTGCCACGAGGAAGGTATTCTGAGCTGAGAGCTAAGGGAAGAGCGGGAAGGAGGGAGAAGAAGGGGAAAGCAATGGTTGCATTAATACCAGGCAGACAGAACAGCTTGTGCACAACCCCTGTGAGTCGGGTACGTGGTGGGAAGAAGCCCCGGGTGTGGCAGGAATGAAGGATGTGGATAGACAGCAGGGATGGGGGCGCCAGGAGAGGGGCAACATTTCCACGTCCCTGCCCTCCTTGCTCCCCAGCCACGCCACCGTCAGGTCCCTGGATAAATCCAAGTGAAAAGCAGGAAGCTGGAGATGACCCATTTCCTGGGATTTCATTTCTCATTTTAAAACACATTTTTACTTCTTTTTGCATGTTGTTGTAAAGAGCTCATGAATCCTAGAAGGCTTGTCATTAAATCCAGCAGTCACGGCACAAATACTCTTACCTCACCTTTGACCTGCACCCACCTGCCTCCCACACCCCATTCCTGAGCGAGATTGGCCACATTTAATTCTTCTAGCTGTTTCTTTGGGTTTTCATGCCCACATTTATAAATATGCTTCTATTGTTACTCATTCATCTCCCAATTTGAAACCTATCCATTCGTGTCCTCTTTTGGGAGATGAAGGCTTAGCCCGTCTCTCACGCCTCACTCTCCCTGTCACCCCAACACGGTTATAATCACCGTCGCTGACATCGGCATGAACTTTTGTTCACTGCTGAGCCTACTGTATGCTGTGACCATGTGTTTCTCTTACACTTTTTTTTTGGCTTTCCTTGACTTAATACTTCACCACATTTCTTTACTCTATGTACACATCCCCGATATTTCTCCATCAAATCTGAAAACAAAAGTCGGCATTGAGAGCTCATGCCGCCACCAGCGTCTCAGGAAGCACGGGGCGACGGAAGAGCTTTGCTCACGGGCAGACTCTCCATCGCCTTCCTGCTTGTAGGCTGGTGTCGCCCACCCTCACCGTGCTGGCATCTGGAGCCTCACTAGGCGAATATACTCAGAGTCTAAATCTGTACCTCCTGCTCTGGGCTGGGGTGTTGTGGGGAGGCATTTCGAGGATTCTAGTTGCAAAGCAGTTTTGCCTCTTCTGCTAAGTCAGGCAGCAGCCTTCCATTCTCTTACCGGCTTCCAGAAATCAGTTAACCTCGCTCATCTGCTAAGGCCTCCTCCCCTCCTCTCCCCGACACTATGGGCTTATGCCTGTTGTAGTCTATTCCTCTTATTTTAGTGGCATTTCAGGAGAGGGCAGGGGCCAGCCTGCCGTGTTACCGGGCCGTCCCCTGCGGTTCCAGGTTCAGCTGCTCTCTCAGCCCAGGGGCCATGGCCGAGTCAGGCCCGAGATCCCTGCCTCCCAGGGATGTAGGGAACGGCTCTCGTGCTAGCCACCGGTCCCTCGGACATCCCGCCTGCCTGCTTCTGCTCCGCAGGCCTGTGCGACTCACCAAAGTCTGGAGATGTTCCGGGAGGCTCACCGAGAAGGTTCTTGCCCGTGTTTGGTTTCATGGGGTTGTGCGCTCTGTGGAGCTAGAAAAGAAATGAGAACGACTGATAATAAAAATACTTTTTAAAAAATTACCCTTTAAACCAAGCTTCTAATAACAAAAACCTCCCACCCTTCCCCTCTCCTTTCTCTGTTTCTGTAATAACTTCACCGGATCTGGATTATCGGTGTTTCTTGTGAACCTCAGAATATCAGAGTCCATCCTCTGGCCTCCTAGGAGGTCCCTGGTGGATCCTACAGGGCATCCTCTACGATGTCACCCTGCATCGCCTGCTTGGCAGAGACCTGCCAGTGGTGGACGGTGGAGACAGGTCTCCAGAAACGGGCAGGCTTTTGCATTCCAAAATCCATGGAAATGAAAAGAGAACATTTTGGAAATTCCTATTTAGGGAAAGTCAATGAGAAAAGGATCAAAATAAAATACAGGTGGGAGCTGGCTTGGCCTCTTCGGCAGGTGTAAAGGAGCCTCATAGACACATTCGCATCTTCCCATCTTCCTGGTTCCCCGTAGCAGAGGTTGTGAACATTGAGGCGGAATTCCAGTCTACTCGGAGGCCGGGCTCCTAGGTGAGGGTCGGCCAGGCCACGCAGCAGCTGGGAGGGAATCTGCAGCCGCCGAAAATGGAGATTTGTAATGGAAATGCTGACAGACCCTCAACCACGGCAGGGCCAGCGAGAGCCGAGATCCCATAGTAAATAAGGCGAATGGGCTCGGCTTATCTCATTTCACAGCTGAGCTGTGTATTGCCAGATAAATCAAATCAGGGTAAACGGCTTCATCTAATAAACTGGGTCAACATATAATGTATTTGTTCAGGTTCGCACTTTCATTGATTCTCATTTGATTTAAGAAGAGATATTTCAGCTCATGTTTGAACGTTTTTAGTATTCATCCCTCCTTCTGGTAAGGAGAGACTGAGAGGCAGGGACACACAGCTGGGATTTTTTTTTTCCTTTTAAATAAATTAAGTTTTCTGATTCTTGTAAGTTCTTCTGCTTTTCATCTTTATGCATGGACGCGGGGGAGGGGTGGCGGACCGCTCGGGGAGAAAGCCAGGAGGAAGCAGGAGAAAGCACCCCGTCTCTTCATCTGCATTTCCCAATAACGTTTTAGTGATGTTTGCTAATGTATCATTCATTAACCATCAGCCACTATAAAAAACATAATCTATCTCGCAAAGTGGACATTATTATCGCATTAAATCATTTCACAATATACCTGAACGGTTCCACATGAGAGGCCTGGACTGGCCGGGCTCAGATGCCTCCGGGGCAATTCTTCAGCAGTAATGAGATACGAGGTCTGTCTGTGATGAATACGATATTACTCGTGTCAGTGGTTGCGGACTGCACCCAGAATATTTCTTCTTACAGGTTTTCTTTCTTTCTTTTTTTTTTTTCATAGCAAAGGAACTCAGGCAAAGCACTATTAACCCAGTAAATGAAGCTCTAAAGATCACAGAGTGTGTCCATTAGGAGACAAGACGGTGACTAATCCAATTTTTCTTGCAGGGAGGGATGATGATGCTTTGGCAACATCCGGGGATGGCAGGCCCTGCATTGCAGATGAGGCTCTGCGTTCTGTCCTCCGCGTACTCTCCTTTCTGTCTCTTCCTTCTCTGCCTTTGTTTAAGAACAATTATCGCATTGTCCCCTCCTCTCCCTCGACCCTCTCTGCACGAAAACCTCTTTGCAGGTGATTCACATAATGCCCATGGCTGGCGAAAGGCATGGAAAAGGGTGATGGGTAGGGGGAGGGAGGAATTGTCGAATGGTTAAGTCCTCCCATTTATGGGATGTTTCCTGAGGCTCCAGGTCTGTCGTAGGCAGGCCGGACTCTGCAAAGGGACAAGAGAGACTATGCAAGGGGCCATTTGCTCTCTGCTCCTTCCTGTTAAAATCACATCAAATGGTCTTGCGTTTTGGGAAATAATTCATGTTTTCTCCCTCATAAGCGCATTCACTTATTTCTTTTATTCCTTGGAAAACTGCATGCCTTTGTTTAAAATGTTGATGGATAAACACAAGACTCCAGATGCCCCTTAGCCTAGATGGCCATAGGATAGCTA